AATGGAATAAAATACTAGACAAGTGTATTAGTGTAAGTGGAGAGTACTTAGAAGGGGATTGAAGGTTTGTGCTTAAAATTTGAATAAATAAGTTTAAAAAAAAATAAGTTCGGTTTCTTTTGGGTACCCTTCACAGCCAGATTTTTTGACAGGAGTGAATGGGGAGATGGGTTTTGACCCAATAGAAAAGGGGGACTGACCTGGTATACAGATGGTTCCAAGATAAATAAGGGCACTGGAGCTGGTTTGTACTGCTATGGCACGAGGCGGAAACTTAGTTTCAGCCTTGGGCATTATACGACAGTATTCCAGGCAGAAGTATATGCCATTAAGGCATGTATTATGGAGAATTCAGATAGGAACAACAGAAATAGGAACATCTACATTCTATCTCACAGCCAGGCTGCACTTAAAGTGCTTGAAAAACACCAGATCAACTCAAAATTGGTCTGGGATTGCCACCAAACCCTCATGGAACTGGCCAAACATAACAGGGTACAACTGATGGGAATGAGGGTATCGCTGGAAACGAAACAGCTGATCAACTGGCTAAGACTGGAGCTGAACATCCATTCATAGGACCTGAACCAGCCTGAGCATCTCTATAGAAGTTGCCAGAAAGGCAATCAGGGACTGGACAAATATGAAGCACAAGAAATACTGGGGATCCTTGACTGGACTCAGGGAAGCAAAGGGACTCATACGAGGACCCTCTACTAAAAGAGCGAAGGAACTGATGAAGTTAAACAGGAACCAACTACTATGGGTGGTGGGACTACTTACAGGACATTATCACCTTAAAGGACACCTCTTCAAACTGGGACTAAGTGATAGTCCCACTTGTGAGAGGTGTCAAGAAGAAAATGAAACAGCCACACATATCCTGTGTGAATGTGAGGCCTTAGCTTATCTAAGATTTTGTCACTTGGGTCAATACTTTAAGGAACCAAGTGACTATTTCAACGCCCCCATGTACAAAATCCTGTGCTTCATTTGAAGCGCATGATTGCTGAGGGGATAAGCAAAAGGGGAAGCACAATAAACCACTGTAGGTCATGGTGCAAGGGCCAAGAAGGCCCATCCCTGATTCATTCATTCATTCATTTTTATGTATATTCTAGACAGGTCCAGGTAAACTGATATGAGTAAGACTATAGCCTTTACACATGTATGCTTACTCTGTGGCACTACTGAATGGTGGGTTGGATTTAACAGTAAGTAAAAAAAGTAAAGGTAAATAAAGCTACCCCTGTACCAGGCCATGAAGGCCCAGAGGGTTGTGAGATGTTGAGGGTCCCACATTATCTAGACAATTGGCTCAAAGATGGCACACCAGCCGCACTTCACTCCCCCGGAAAATTATTTTATTTAATTAATTCCTGGTACTCATTTCTATCACATGGACTAGGAAGATGGAATCACAATGCTTGACTTTTGTGAAAGAAATGGACTGATTGTTACCAACACTTGGTTCAAGAAGCCAAAGAGAAGATTTTACACATGGAAGGCACCTGGGGATTGGAGGTGGCATCAGCTGGACTACATTCTCGTGAAACATCGATTCAGACATAGTGTGAAGGATGTGAAGACGCTGCCTGGGGCAGATATTGACTCTGACCACAATTTACTGGTTGCCAAGTTTCAAACCAGGTTGAAGAAAATTATAAGATTCCAAAAGTGCAGACCTAGATGGGATTTGCAGAAGTTATATGCTCAAAGACAAAGGGTGCAGGAGACCCTAAAAGAGAAACTCAGTGCAATTGAAAGTGAAAGCGGAAATGCTGAAGTGCAGTGGAACAATATAAAAGAACGCATGTTAGATACTATTAGCGAATTGGTTGGTAATGTTGAGAAGATAGCAAGAAAACCATGGGTTATACAGGAGATGATGAGTAAAATGGAGGAGCGAAGGAAATGGAAGAATGTAAACAATGAAGAAGGCAGGAGGAAATACAGGAGACTGAGGAATGAATTGAAAAGAGCCACGGACAGGGCCAAAAAGGAATATCTTGAGAAGATATGTAATGAGATTATAGAATTTCAAA